TCTCAGAAAACGCTTAAGTTGTCCGACTCTCGCGGGGTTCCAATAATTTGCATTCTATTTTTAGACTTTGCGCGTTTCGTTGTCGCAGATATCTAAGAAGACGCGCTGAGATGCTTCTTGTTGAGGACCTATGGCCACCGAAGCAGGAGATGTGTCAAACACCAGAGACAGCTTTACACCACATTTCAAAACATTGCAAAGTTCGTCAAAAATGCTCCGCTGGACATGTGCTAATTTGGAAATGTGGGCTCTCGTGTTCATATATTATAAAAACAATAGTTATATACCCTGTTGCCTCCGTACTCGACCTATACACCTAGAAACCAAATTTCCTTATGGTTTTAGAATCTCTTTCGCAAACTGAATTTCCAAGTTCCGAAATGCTGACAAGATTGATGCCTAGATGTTGAATTTATACCTAACTTATGCAAACCTTCTGCGAAGAAGCAAGTGCTTGAATTAGCTTAGCTTCCTGACCACCAAATACAAATGATCATGACCTACAGGTTTTTTCACCTCTGATGTATATCACCCTTCGCGCGCTCTTACAGCATCCTTGCATCAGTTTATCTTGATTTTTTTTTATTTTTAATTTTTTTTAATATCTCATTGTATTATTTTTATTCAGGTTTTTACAGTTGGTGTGATATCTCACGATTTTTACCGACTTACCTAAGTGTAGATGTAAATGTAGATCTTGATGTTTGGTGAACTACTGTTCAAATGGGTCTGTTGAACCCCTTCCAGCAAGGAAATTGAAAGAGAGGCAAAACTAAGTTACTTTACTACTGTATGGCGAAATAAGGCGGATTGTGTAACATTTATAATGAAAAAGAATGGAATTCACTTTGATTATTTTAGGGTGCGTTTGTTTGGGAAAATCAAAGATTGGATTCTTCGATCCAAAACGGATTTTTTTGTTTCTTTACTAAACAGGTTAATCGAAGGTCACTCGGATCATGATAGATCAAAGGAACCGAAAAATCCTTGCCCAGAGGGGATTCTTCGGTCCAAATTCCTTTGATGCACCATGATCCGAGTGATCTTGAGCCCTATTTAAATCGATACCCTCTGTCAGACCCACTTTATAATTATTTCTCTAGTCCAGACCAATGTTAAAGGCAATGTTTACATGCTTTTATAGGTAGGATAAGTTCTTCTAATTCAAGACTAGAGTGCAAAAACCATACCCTATTTGAGACCAAAATGGCCAAAATCGATTCCCTATTTCTGACTAAAAAGGCTAAAAACCATACCCTTGGGGGCCGCACATACCAACATAGCCCACATAAGGGAGTACCTCCTCGCAGGCAATGACGCCACTATTGTTATTACTGCGTCAATCAGTTTGGTGAAAAAAGAACTTCCTTAAAATAACTAGTTGGTAAATCTAGGTCAAACAATATCTGTACATCACATTGCTGATTACTGTGCCCAAGGAAATAGCCAAAATCCCAGCCATCGAAACATTATTGTATTATAAACATGATGTACACCGGTAAAGACTAAAACTTGAAACGTTAAAAGCTATAATACTTGTATTTATTCACTTAAACGGCTACTTTAACAAATAAAACATTAAATTAGTTTTATAATAGGAAGTAAACTATGTACAGGCATGTTTAACTTTTCTCAGTGTTATCAGTCGACACCTACACAAATTGTTGACTAGAAAGTATTAATAGAAGTTGTCATTAAACGTTCGATGACATTTTGATACATTCTTCAGTTGGGAATTTAAGGTTAGGTGGTTTGAAAGGTTTCAATAAAGATGTTGAGTTTAAAGGCATGAGAAATCTGATAGCAGTTATGTATTCAACTGATGCATTTGCGAAAACAAAGCTTGCTTGTACAAGATTCGAACGTACACAGGACTCACCCATGATCTGATTGGTTAAATCGCTGATTGTTGACAGCTTTGAGATAAATATTTGACAGATCTTTACAGCGGCTTGTATATTTGCATAATTTTTACCTTGAGTGAGAAAGATGGCGTCTGCGTGCAATGCACAGTTTAGAAACGTAAATTCGAGGCAGCTTTGAGGAATTCTTCACAACATTTTATTCATATCTCTGGTTTGAAACTTGAACAGAAGCCATGCCTGGAAACTAGCTCAGAAGCGCGATGTTTTTGGCATTCGGGAATAGTTTAATCTTCCAATTGTTATCAAGTCTACTGAGACATATCAAAAACATCAATTTTTTTACCTTCTTGGCTGATTTGTAACAGGCTTATCACCAAGGGCGGATTGGTGCATCAAAAACAAAGTCTACTGGCTTCCCCTACGTATTCCCTACAAGATATCGCGATTAAAACGTAGCTTGGACTTCTATATTGTTCTTTTTACAGAGCAGCTAGCTTAATAATTGTTCAGTACACCCGCTCGTATATCTTTCATTCTCCAAACGTAAAGAAAAGGGTTAAGAGATGAAGTCAAGAAAAACATCATTATCGTCAACCGGAAAGCCAAAATTAATGTAACCCAGCGTGATTATCAAAACACGTAAACAGGCCAATCATGACAATAGCGGGCAAGTAGCAATGTAAAATACAGCTGAGATGTATAGGATCGTAAAGACAGATCTCTTGTATTTTGCCAAGTCTATTACTGGCTGGTCACAACGACGAATCGATTGGTTTTCCTGGACTTGCTGTTGATGTGCACGAACAATATGGTAAACTTTGTAATAAGCAAATGTTGTAGTGATAACGCAAACTGGCCAAAGCATGAAAACTGTAGCGTTGCTTATGTGTCCGTGGCTTCCCTTCTTGGCGTCTAAGAAGATAACAAAAGCCAGTGGTATGGGAAGAAGTATTAAGATAACAACTAGAAAACCAGTTCGACGACCTGTAACAAAAGATCGACGGGCCATGTGCAGCCATCTTTCAATCGACATAGGCGTTATAGTCAAAGCTGAAACAAACCCGAGGTAGTTCCCACAACCGATGGTGATGGTTACAGCAGTCTTAAGAAAAGATGAACCATCTAGATCTTCATTTACATCCTGAATGGGTTTCTTTAAACAGATGCAGTAGACGGCAACATAAAAAGGCTGAGTTATGAGTCCCATGCAAAGATCACTGACCACTAATCCACAAAGTGAAATGTACGAAGGAGTTCTCAGAGACGGGTTTCTCCAAATTACTGCCAAAATCACAGTGTTTCCAGCAACTGCCAAAGAAGACATAATGGCCAAAATTACAGAGATTGAGAGCGTCCCAGTTTTAACAGCTGAACTGTGATTTCGTGGAATACCGTCAAGGTTACAAAGGCTGAATTTGAGAGGAAGGACAGATGGGGGACCTGTAGTATGATTGGACATGTAGTATGATTTTCAGTGAACGATGTCAACGATTCCACTTCTTAGTTAGACTGAGGGCAGTCCTATGTACAAGGGGTCTTTGTTATCTTCTAATGCTTTCAACGATCATTCCACAATAATTAATTGAAAGATGGCTTCAAGTGTTATCTGCATGCAGATAGTAATCCATGTCCATTATTGCCTGTAAAAGGTGTCTTTAAGAAAGGTTTACCTCATTAATTTGGTTATTTACAACTTCTTAACAGTGAGTGAGGTATTTCGGGAAAATCTCGAACCGAGACCTTGCCGTATTCAGCGAGCGATAGCGGGGTCGTTACAGCAAGGCCGAGGTTTGAGATTTCCTGTAAAGACCGTACGTTCGAGGTTTATAAGTTGTTTATTATACGGCTTTTTGCTTTGCTTTTGCAGGCCCGTAATCGGCCCATGTGCATTACGGGAGATAATGCCATAATATTAGCCAATCAGAGCGCGCGTTATATCGGCTATAAACAGAAGCCGTATAATAAATAAAATTACTAACTATTTTAAAGCGTATTTATCCCTTAAATATATATGGCAGGTTAGGATTAGGCCCCACTTTGAAAATATTAGCTTTAAGAGTAAAGTCAAGAGAAATGTTGTTGCGTGCATGGCCTCAAAATAATAACAATACAATCTAGAATTGATTCGCTGTTCTATCTTGAATACACTAATGCAACAAATAGCCTCAGGTTTTTATCTCCGATTTTTCTGTCGATAGTTAGAAAGTTCTTTGTTTCAAGGGATTTTACTGAAAATATATTCCTTTTCTTACTACAAAAACCTTTTCAGCTGTACTGATAAACGACTTCTTTAATTAATATATATTTCATACTCACTGTTGCAACAAAGGGGTCCTCAGCTCCATTTCTAAATATTGTAGATAGTAAAAATTTCGTTGTTTTCATATCATTTTAATGAGCTTACATCCGTTTGGTAGGTGTAAGAACTCTATTAGCAATGCTATTCTTACTCTTCCGCAACCAAACTATGTGCGTTTGAATCTGTAACGATCAGCACCAATAAATTATGTGTGTATGTATAATGGTATTTTTAAGAGTGTAATATACATGTTAACATTAATGAGACGTCTTGTAACACGATCATTTTTTATTTTCACCCTGTTATAAAAGTGATTACGACTGATCTTAGCCCGATTTAAACTTCGTTGATCAATCCCCTCTCTATGTGTCCCTTTCCTCACATATCTCAGTTTTTGTGTTACTTTTTAAATATTTCAATTTCCAAAACCAAAATTCATAAACAACTAATTTCTCCTGATAATATCAATACATTCTACAGCAGGTACGTGTAGAGAATATAAAACAGCACTAAAAAGGGAATCATCACCTTCGCAGTGCAAAGATATTTCGATTTTGAAATGTCGCCGTAAGATGTACTGAACCATTTTATGTGATTCGATGTAATATAAATGCAAGAAAATATTTTGTTAGTTCCATTTCTTGTAGCAAAGAATAACTATTGCGCTTTTGGAGAGCCTCTCAACTACAATGCATGAACTTGCAAAACTAAATGGAACAATATTTCCCTCTGCAATACGGACCTCATGCTAATTTGTCAACATTTAGTTTTTTTAGTATATCGAGAGTCGATGCAACATATAACTTCCAAAATGGCGCTATGTACTCTGATATTTACAACTGAAGAGTGAATTAGTACTATCTAATCACGAAGTCACACGTAGAATGTAAGAACGCGTACGTTTTCATGTAGGAATTCCTCCAAAACGTGGATATGATCAAGAGGTTTCCCATAGTCACAACAGGCAAAAACAAAGAACAACAATCGAGATGCCTTAAGTAACGTAAGTCGAAACATAACACGATGTAGCCGAATCAGTTAAGCTTGAAAGAGCAAGAAAGTGGCCACAGGCAAATTATTTAGCATGACAAATATAATGAAGGTTCAATTTTTCTTTCGCGTGCTAGTCTATTTATTTTCTTTTCGATATTTTGTCGCGTACATTAATTTCTTGCACCTCAACACAACACTCGCTCGCTCAACACAGTGTCATCTGTTCTGCCTTGACAGGGCAAAAGGCCGCCGGACAGGTTTCTTAATTAACTTTGGTCGAGCTTTGATGCAATATGGTGTTTCCATAGCCCAACTCGAGGGATCTCTCCTGTAGTGAAACTGAGCAAAAATGGAAAAAGGTTCACTAAAACGCTTTGAAAAACTAAAATTGTTAAATTTTACGCACTTACTTTACGCATTCGCTAAATGGCAACTGTTATCATCACCATCACTGGGTACTTAACAGTTCAGAACTCTCTGTTATCCGTTTCCAAAATTAATGACACTACCAAAAGGGTTGTTGTACAATGGCTATCTACGTTTGTATCTAAAGATGAACACACTTTATAGTGAATGTATACTTTTTAATGGAACCATTACAACTGTAATGCTAAAAGCATCTATTGAAAGTAGTTTCAAAAACCTGCGACATTCTTAATTACTTCCACCTTATTTGCTGAGGCAAACGACTTACTTCCAAAAAGTGATTTTAAGACATTTTTCAATACTATGCAAGTAAACTAACCAAGTCTATCTGTTTATCGACTGCCGTTCTAAATTAAATTACGTCTTCACTACATGAAGCTTTTTGAAATATCTCAATATAAAAAAATTTAATCAGCTTAAAACAACACATTTTGCATTCTGTTTATACAAATTACACATATCCTTGGTAAAATTGAAATAAACTGATCCTTATATGGTGCTTGCGTGGGAAGTGCAACAAATAGCACAAAAGTACTACCAGCTGAGTACACGGACTGCCAGAATATATATTGAGCCCGCCATAAATTATTAAGTATAAGTTGATTACATCCCTAGGGCTGTTCTTTTAGGGTTTCTCTCACGAAAATTGAATTCTTGTCAAAAGTTTGTGCGGAAAGCCAGCAAAGTCCATGGCAAATTTTACAGCATGCTTCCCATGGCCACCGCTCAAAACTTACATTGCTTGCAGCGTAGATGACACAGGACGGCTATGTGATCCCTTTGTATGCGCCTTTACTTTCTGGAGTTCAATCATCATTGTTGTTTTATCACCGGTGGCAGTTGCGGGAAATGCACTTATTCTGGCGGCCATTTGGAAGAAGACTTTTCCGAGAACGCCATTCCATATCCTACTGAGCGGGTTAGCCTTCACTGATTTGTGTACAGGACTCATCGCCCAGCCTTTCGTTGCTTCAAAAACCCTGGTGTTCTCAGCCAACCCCGGGATAGCCAAGGAGAAGCCAATGCTCGTACTGACAATAGAAGCCATTGGCGAGGTCAGTGCTACCTATTCTATTGCCATCACAGTATTTCTTATAACACTGACGTCCGTTGAAAGATGGCTGCATATGTCTCGCCGATCCTTGGTTACATCTCGTCGCGGTTATTTCACCGTCACTGCACTGTTACTCATTCCAGTTCCACTTGTTGTCTTACAATATTTGGACATTGTAAATGAAAATGATGGACGGGAGTTGATTACTACGATTGTGACAATGATGCTCTTTTGCTACCTTACTACAGCATTCGCCTATTTCAAAGTCTACCAAGTTATTCGTCGTCACCAACATAACGTCAGAGTAAGCAAACCAGCCCAGAATATTGGTCGACCTGGAATCGACTTGGCAAAATACAAGAGATCTGTGGCCACCATTTTATATATTCTTTCGTTATTTTCTCTGTGTTTCTTACCTTTTGTTGTCTCTGCTGGAGTGTACATTTCGATAGGCCCCAGTTCAGCAGTATATGCGGCCAGCAACGTTTCGTTGTCGCTTTTGTTTTTGTCATCTTCACTCAACCCTGGCCTTTACCTCTGGAGAATGAAGGATATTCGATACGGAGTCCAAAAAGTACTCTGTAGCCACAGATAAAGAATATCTAAAAAAAAACTCTTAAATCTGTTGATGTACTGAACATGTATGCCTCTGAATCGATTAAAAAAGCTTTTGGTCAGTTCATACTGTAAAATAATTGACAACAAATTTCAATTTCTAAATTTAATGACTTCTCCTATGATGTATTCGATATGTTTGTCGAACGAAAATGCTTAAGCCGTTGCCTACTAGCAACTTTCAACTCAATTTCTGGTGGTCAGTGAGAGAGAAGTGTTTCAGCGATGTGCGCTTATTGTAACCCCTTATATGATGGTACCGTCTAGTTAGCAGTTTCATCTCAGCACGTACAACATTTGTAAATATGTAGATAGCACTTCGGTTTCACGTAATGTCAGGGTAAACATGAAGCGTTCTTTGTTAATCGCATAATTTAGTTTTTGTATTCCTTTTTTCGTATTTCAGTTTCCAAACGAATAAACAAATAATTTCTCCTAATAATAACTCTCAATTTTTTGTTAAGCCCTTATATGTCGTGAGTAAAGAACAACATCAAATTGGGAATCATTATCTTCAGGTGGTAACGTATTTTCCGAAATAACGTTTTTTGGTTTTGGAATATCGCCGTAAAATGTACAGTAGCATTTCATGGAAATCAATGTAATACAAATGAAAAATA